GATCGAAAAAATTGAAAAGCTCAAGTCGAGGAATTTCTACAGAAAATATCCCACTAAAATAAATTACATAGGTTTTTCTATTGAATTGAAAAATTGAATTGAATTGCGCGAATAATGAATCTCCCATGACGTCAATCTCAGTTCATGAATAAAATTGACGCATGCAAATGAGACTGTACTCGACTAACCTGTATTTTCAATCAGATTATCCTCCAAAATAACCAAATTCTCCAGCTCAATATATCAAATCATAACCTATTCTGTTCTATCCCCGATACCAAATCCAATTAATTCGGTTTATAGATCAAGTATTGGCCCGTCTAAATCCTCTGAATGGCATTTCGTTTTGTCGCAGCCTTTTACCCTGTCATTGACATCGGCTTTTGAATTCATTGAATCGTGTACTGCATGTATGAAGAAAATTTAATAGAAAAACCTAGCGCTTTCTCTAAGAAATTCTATTCCAAAATTGGAGTTCTGTTAAAATTTTATTGAAGATTCAACTTCATTGTTTCATTTTTTTTTATTGATATTTGGTAGGAAAAATTCAATGGATTTCGAAGGAATCATGAAACAAGTGGGAAATTGCTTTCATCAAAAATAGTCAATATAATTTTGCTAATAAATTAGCGATTTGCTTGCGAATGGAATTTTGATGACGATGTATTTTGAATTGAATTCAATGATTCAATGAATTCAAGATTGGCCCAATGTTGGCGGCCAACATTGTCCCAACATTAATTTTTTTTTCTTTCATTAAATGGATATTCCATTCGGAAGCAAAAAGATGAATATCTTATTTTGAAACAAAACACTGTTGTAAGTCCCCTCCGCCCCTCTCCCACAGAACCACATGATCAGTGGTTAACGACGAAAAAAGAGCTAAAGAGAAAAACCCTTTTCACAAAAGTCTCCATTCCGTGGGAAAAAAATTGAAGATATTTTCAGCGAGACGACATGGAGTGAGGAGTTCTGAAAAAGTTTAATACTCAGACCGCTCATTAACTCGGTGTTGAAGGATTTACAAAATTTTCACATTGAAAAGAAGTCCGATGAAACAGTTTACCCTCATTTAAAATACTATTTTCCACGGTGAAGTTCCGCGGCAATTGTGATATGTAGACAATTAGTACTGTCATTTCACCATTTGTTCCGCTCCATAAAGTATAAATGTCCTTATGGAAAGTATATTCTGGGAAATGAGGTTAGAATTTTCATTATGAAGTAGACTCGGGCAATTGTACATTCAAAAAATAAAACTGACAACTGAATTCTGCAATAAATACCTGTCATCAATTGACAGAAATCCTTAAACCTGACAAATTTTGAATGAACTCAAAATTAAGAGCGAAGACTTACACGTTGGATTAGAATTGTAATTCAATTATCAGTTACCACCTCGCTAAAAGATGCACCATTTTTGCTCAGAGAACGACTCACAATAAAACAAGTATTGATTTCCTTCCGCAAAAACACTTCTGCTTGCGTTAACACTTCTGTCTGAGATTAAACAGAAAATTTTGTTGAAATAATGAGAGTGTGAGCGATGTGAGCTATTATTTTATTAGAGTAACTCACACTTGAGCTGGTTATGAGTCACCTGAGGTTAAATAGAAACTTTTGTTGAAGTAATGACAGTATGACCGACTTATGAGCGAGGAAATCTCACACTGTGCGTCATGAAAATTGCCAATTTCTACGTGTGAGTGCTTATGAGCAACTACTGTTCACACAATTTTCACAGTGAAGTACGAGAAATTGTACTGTCTGCAGACTTTCCCGTTGGACTCTTCACGTCCTCAGACCCTTATATTTCCGTTAATTTCCAAATCCAAACATTAATCACTTCATTTTTTTCTTCGTAAAGTGCGAACAACTCGAAACAACGAGAAAACTTTTACCCAAAGAAACCGTAGAGTTTTGTTATGAGCAAATGAAAACAGTGAGTAGTAAAGTATACAACGCGCAAATGGTTGGTACGTGCCATTCCCCCCTTGCTTCTTCCGAAGAACGGTATCATTTGTGAAATAAACTGTGCCGCATAGTTGCAGTATGTTTGGTAGAGACTGAATAATTACTCGACGCAATTGATGGCACACCACAGAGGAAAGAGAAAGACCACGCTTACCCCTCCCCCCCCTCACCCACACCACTTTTTCACCATTTTTTTTTCTTTATTTTTTCTTCTCTTTTATTTGCTCAGCCTTCGCATTTCCCGTGCACAAACAGACTCGGGGGGTACACAATTTACAACGCTAACTCGCCATCGTTCTCGTCCCAACAGTCAGCGATTCTTCAGACCTTTATCTTCGAGGTTTCCCACATACATCGTATTCACCTCTTAAAACCGTTTTTCTTCTCGTTCTCGTTACTCCTCATTTCTTTTAGCTCGTTTTATTATTTTTCCTGTTCATTCTCTTCTGTACTTTATTGTCCAGAAACATTTTAACAAGACGACAAATCCGGTGGTGACTGCTAAAGCGGTTGTACTTTGGAAGAATGGAGGACCAGTAATGATGGAGGAGAGAATGTTTAAATAATTGAGGCGAGAAGTCCGTATGGGAATGCTCGGGAATTTGGTAAATAGTGAATAGAATAAATAGTGAATAGAAGCGAGTGGATCTAAGTGAGCCTTTTCAGCCGTATGATTTTGATGGAGTGAGACTCATTTTGAGACTCTTAGCAAGATATCTAGAGATTTCTGACCGGTATAAACTCTACAACCTGCATTTGAATCAAGGTTCCATTTTTCCTAGCAGTCCAATTCTCCCCAACGTCCACTGATCGCCTACGATTTCACAAATACTTGGTGTCACTGAAATATGAATTGCTCTTGAGTCGAAAAGGGATAACCTCACAACAGTCCATCTTCTGAGACAAGTGAAATACCAGTGTTAAAAATCGTGGGATGAAGAATTCTATGAAAGCTAGTGCATCGCGATGAAAAAGTTGGAAATAATACTGGCATAAAGCCCGTCGAGTCTGTATTCCCCTTTATTTACTCACTCCATATATTTGATTTTTTTCCTCTCCCGCGGTGGATAGTGACTTTGAGTGTAGCCTATGGTGCAGCTGTGGTGGAAAAAGAACGATGAGGTTCGTTTCTGTATTTATACGAATGCACCCAGTTCTCTTTTGTATCCACTCGAAGCAAGGGGGGGTCAAGCTCCCGTTACTTGCTAGGACGTAAGGCACTGGGTGATAGAAGGAGATAGGTGGTGAGAAGGCAGACCGGATGGTGAAAGAGAAAGAAAATCCGTACTCGAGACTCGAATAGAAAATGGAGACAATGTAGTTTCAGGGAGAAAAGGAAATTCTCTACCCAATACATCCTATTCCAGCCATTGAAAGGATAGTGTGTGCTAGTCACATTCGCAAGATACTTCTGCTTTCTTTTGAAATTCGATTGACGTCGGGTAAATTGCCTTGTGATAATCACGGTGTCAGACATTTTTTTTGTTCAAGTCACACTCGAGCCAGTTTTGAATCGTGTGAGATTATATTGAGAATTTTGTTGTGAGCGGCTGTGAGCGAGGAAGTATCGCACTGTGAGCCATGGAAATTGTTAATTTTAAGTGTGAGTGAGAATGAGGACCTCTTGCTCATATCCGCTCACACGGGAGTAATTCATGTGAGCTTCTTACTATAATTATCACCACGGAATTCAAAATTTAATTCACTTGTCAGATATCACCTCGCAGAAGAATGAGTCATTTTGGCTCACAGTAGCTCAAAAATTTTTCATTTTCACGTGGGTTAAGGGTGAAAGTCGATTTTCGCCAAAATTGAATTTTTTCGCCAAGTGAAAGTTGATTCTGTATTTTCTAACAATTCTGATGCCAATGAAACCCCCGAAGGCGCGATAAAAGTCGAAATAAATTTTTTTTTTCACCCCGACCCAAAGAATCAGATTTTCTGTTTTTCCAGAGGGAAAGTCGACTTTCGTCAAAATCGAATTTTTTAGCCGGGTGAACGTTGACTCCAACTATTTAAGCGCCGGGCTAGTCAGAACTGTCAAAAGTATGTGGAAAAA